AGTGTGGTACACTAGCCTCTGATCCAGCATGGCTTAAAGCCCTTAAAACTGATAACATCAGTCTGTAGCTACATGTAGGCTTCCACTATAGGTTGCAAATCTTCTGTAACCAGTGTCGAGTATTCACCATGGTGAAATCAACCTTTGCATTCCTGGAGCCAACTTGGGTGCTTAGCTCTGACTGCCTCCAAATCTGGTGGAAGTTCTAATAGCAATGGTTGGATGCCTTCCTTCATTTCCGTGAAAGCCTGGACACTCTCACACAGACTCTCCATAACTTCCATGTACTTGACCTTGGAGGGTGTGCCCAGAGTTGTGTCCTTGGCTTCCATTACCATCAGGGGCTTCCATCACTGTGCTCACATTTTTCACTGTTCATCTCGAGTATATTGTCTTTTACTGGCAATTGACTGGGTTTTTCAGAGTTGACTCTGGTTTCTCTCAGTGTTGGCTCTGACATAATTTGCTGTTGACAACAATTTATCCATCCATGAATTGGAAGGTCATAGAGAGCTACAAGTAGGAAGAATTTATGCCAGAGTGAAGAAAACATTTCAGCTTTTTTGACAAGTTTTTTGTTTGATATGCCTAAGGATTGTAAGATACATTGTTCCAAATCTGTTGGAAGTCGTTCCTTCCAAGATAAGGCCAAATGTGCAGCTAGATCCAAAGACGCCATGCTCCACACCGGCTCCTCATCCTCTTTGCTCCATACTACTGAGATCAATGTCCAATGCCTCACTCGAGCATTCCTTCACCGCTACCGGTCCGGCCTCAATGCCCGCATCCAACACAGTGCTGTCTCTGGAGACATTAATGGCTTGTACAGTGGTATTAAAAAGGCAAATGGTCCTACCTAAGGAAAAGCGCTCTGTTATTCTCAGCTTCTGGCGTGCCCCTGACTGACTCACCAGCACAACTTGACCATTGGGAAGATATCACTTCACCTCTCTGATGGCCAGTGATGTTGACTTTGAAGTGTGCCTTGAGGCATTACACTATCTGTCACAATTTCCAATCCTGCATGATCTTGATAGCAAAATCTATCTGGCTGCAGTGAACCCTTCCAGCAGTGAACCGTTCCATCAGTGGACTCAAAAACAAAAAAGGCATGGTGTAGATGGTATCCCCTGAAGTTCTGAAGTGTGGTGACCCCCTGCTCTAGCAGACCCAAAAGAGGCAAATATAATCAATCATTACAAAAACAAAGGTAGCAGACAAGATTGCCACAACCACAGAGGCATATCACTCTGGGTACAGTCAGCAAGGTCCTCGCCCCCATACTTCTTCCCAGATTGCAGATCACTGCCAACAGAAATTATCCTCAGAGTCAGTGTT